GACAAAGTCTTTTCCAAAAATTTTGAAAAAAAGTAACCCAGCTCAAATTAATAAGTGCCTATCTCGGAACCTAGTAGTTTTGAAAAGTTGGTTGAAATGATACTTTACATGTTTATTTTTGCCGCAACAAGAGAAACTTTGTCGCATGCCTAACACAAACTATTTTCGAAACTTTGGATGATAGCGGACAGGTTGATGTTGTTTATATGGACACGAAAAAGACATTTGATAGGATAGATTTAGACATCCCATTAAAGAAACTGAATTTCTTTGGGTTCTCTGATGACCTTTTATCGTTGTTTTCAATAGGAAACAATATTAGTCTAATCATATTAGCATATCTCCCCGAAATAATCGTAAAGCATGGTTTTATTGATGTTCAAGGGGGTATTTGAAACATGATGGGTACACCAATTTTTGTGGGAAATCTTTTTATTTGACAACAAAGAATGAGAAAACGCGTTTTTTGAAATTCAATCGAACGTATTGATAGGAACGGAAAAACTTTTCTAATAAAATTTTTAGGTATTTCTGAGAACTACAAAAGAGACCACACGTGAAAAGATCCGACTAATAGCAAAAATGTTATGGCCGAAAAACGAGGCAAAATGCAGGTTTTGGCACTTGTTGGTAATGCGACGATGATTGACTAGTTGAAATTCTTCAAATCCGTAGGATTAATACTTCCTAATAGCAACAATAAAATTGGAGGATATTGATCATGTAGTTTTTTAAGAATATCTAATTGTTTATTCCAAAACACGTGTTTTCCGGCCATCACTACTAGCTTTGAGCCGTTTTACACACAAGAGAATTACTCCGAAAATTATGGTCATAATTATGCCGAAAATTTCCATGGAAAAATATTGAAGATTTCCTCTACAACCTGTATGACACAAGCAAAAAAAAATTCCGAGTAACTCATATGATACCTACGCCTGCGCATTAGAGTAATATTTTCGACTGGACATAACCTTAACGGGTATGACGTTCATTATAATCGGAAAGACAACAGACGTCATTGATTTAAATTTATTTTTGAAATCAAGATCTTGGTTAATATTATAAAACTTCTCAATGCTTGGACAATCGCATCCAGAGCTTGACGCCGCAAATTTCTGTTTTTATAATTGGGTGACTTCACCTTGTACAGGTTTGGCCATTTTTGGTACTCCTCCAACAACAGTGTAACTTCTTCCCGATTCCACGACATTATAAATAAACAATAACAATGAACGCTTCTTCGTACGACTCGAACAGGACCACACCCACAAATGTTAAGTGAGGTTATGTTGTAGACGTTCACATTTGATAATGACATGCACGGAAATAACCCTCTGCGCCGATTCTTGCGCATATTCAATAGAACGGGTTTTACCACGAAAATTTTCATAAGAATTCTTTTACGTGTAATTCGACAGCAACAATTTTCGGTATAATTATGACCATAATTTTCGGAGTATAACGGCTCTTATTGAGTAATATACACTTTTCGTTCAAAGGGAATTTAATAGCAAAATACACGTGTTTACCTTGCCGATATGAATCACAAACCGTTCCGAAAGATAAATGTTATTTGTTTGCCAAAAACAAAGGTTACGTTTTTTCTTCTAAACAAATTAAAACATTTCGCATTTGTGAGTAATTGAACAATTACAAAGCGGATGTCACTATCAGCTTTTGTGGCGAATTACTCACAAATACGAATGTTTGAATTTGTTTAAAAGGTAAAACGTAACCCATCCTTTTTTGCATAACAATTACATTTATCTTCCGGAATGGTTTGCGATTCATATCAGCAAGGTAAACTTTTGCTATAACTTTTTTGCTATTAGTCGGATCTTTTGACGTGTGGTCTCATTTTGTAGGTCTCATAAATACCCAAAAAACACGTTTTCTCATTCTTTGTTGTCAAATAAAAAGTTTTTTCACCAAAATTGGTGAAACCATTCTAAAATACCCCCTTTGAATAACTTGCAGCAATAAAATCAGACTTAACAATTACAGCAGACGCTCGATAATGTAAACTAATTTAATCCAAGTGTGGTTCACATTATCGAAATGTTTACATTAGCGAACGTGATTTATATAATATTTGATTTATTGAAAGAAACGTTTGATACATACTATTTATAACAAAATAAACAAATATTCTAACAGCGATAAGTATTTGTTTAATTAGAAGAAAAATAATTAACAATTTTTGTCTGCGTAAATTTGCGCTTAGCATTGTCTTCCAATGCCTGCGCCCGTAATTTACGAAGAACTAAAATATCCGTGTATGAAACTTCTTTTCTTTCAGCCCAATCTAAAGCTTGGTTAAAAACTTGTATAGCTTGCGCGTCAGTCACTACACTTCTGACTTCAATGGGATCGTTCTCATCATCCTCACTGTCCATATCCTCCTCCTTATCAGCATCATTCGTTCCATAAATTAATATCAGCAGGAGTACAAACAATGTTGGGATTCACTGTTTTCAATAAATCAACAACATCCAATGACACACTAATAACATTATCATTATTGGATCACAAACGTTCTCTAATTACGCTTAAGGGGACATCGTCTTCTTCATCATCTTCATTATTGGTACAAAAGAGATTGTTCCAACATTTTTGAATAGTTTGCTGGTTAAGTTCATTCCAGGCCATGTGTAAATCTAAAACAGCTTCCCGTAATGTTCCAATAGTAACAACGCTTTTATTGGAAGCTTATGTTGTTTTAGGAAACCTTTTACCTACAAATTGAAAACACTTCTTCAAATTATGAATAGAGCATTTGTGATAATTGATTGTCATACCTGAGGGACAAAGCACCTGTGGAACCGTTTCAGGAATATACTGCTAGTCATCCAAGCGGTTTTTGAACAGTCATAATCAACAGGGATATTAACATTTTTAAATGAGCGCGGATTTTTTGCTTTCCCAATTACCAGTGGCTTTATTTTGTGTGAACCATTAGCATTAGTGCAGGCTAGAAACGTTATTCGTTGTTTCTCCGGCTTTCTTCCCGGTGCAGATTTTTCAAATGATGCAGCATAGGTGTTCTCTGGTAACATTTTCCAATAAAGGCCACTTTCATCTGCGTTGTAAATTTGTTCCATTCTTAAATCTAGCTCGGTAATTGTTTTCATCAATTTTTCTTTGAATGGTTGCACTAATTGTGGTTGTGCTGATAATTTTTCACCAGATATAGACAGCAGTCGAATTCCGTATCTTGTTTTGAATCGTTATAGCCAGCCAGCACTAGCTACGAAAATTTCAGTTTCTTTCAGTTTTTCATTTAACAGTCTCGCTCTCTATTTAAGTACTTCGCCACTAATTGGGACATGATTTTCCCGTTGTTTTAAAAACCACTTATACAGGGAATTTTCCATTTTAGATGTCTTCGCATTTTTTAAAGTTTTTCTTTTTCCCGGACCTCCAAATGTATTGCACGTTCTTTGTAAAATTTGAGTTTTCATACGCTTAATTTTACAGATTGTTGCTTTCGATACTCCATATTTTTTTGCTAACTGTGTCACTCCCGCACCTAGTGCAACTTCGTCTATGATTTTCACTTTCTCACTCAACTTTAAACACTTTCTTTTATAGGATGCGGATGCCATAGTCGTAAAATATATTAACACGTGCAATGTATTCACTTAAGTTCAAAAATGAAATACATATGTACGTATAAACGTATCCTAAATGATCATACGATTGACCGAGTTTGTCGTATTTTATCGCAGAGGTGAATCCCATACACCCTACATCATAAATCGGGGACTCCCCGACGCCCGACATAAATCATCGAGGCTGCATTTTACCGTCGCGCTGTTTCCGTGCGCCGAGAGTTGTTTACGTTATCGAGCGTACACATTGTTTACGTTATCGCGCGTCTGCTGTATTTCGCAAACCAGGGGTATTTTCGTCTAATATGAGACTGCCTTGTCTTGCAGCAAAATAAAATGATTATATCTTCATGGTCTATCACGTCAATTTAAATGTTGACAGGTACCTAGTTGTATCCTTCACAAAGGAACAGATTATTTTAATTTGTGAATATTGCCTTGAAAACGTTAGCCTTGAGACTCAAGGGCAAGTCGATGATTTAAGAATTCTCTTCGATCAAAAAATGTACTTATTTGGTCTTGCACCTACGAGGTTTGTTAAAAAATTATCGCGAATTTCATGATACATCAAGAATTATTTATTTATTCATGAATATATATTTTGTCCCCTTCAAAATAATCCCCATCAGACATTATACACAGCTCCTCCTTCGATGCCATCTTCATCTCGTCAATCGTGGCGTAGCGTCGTCCTTTCATGGACCTCTTCAGTTTCCGAAACAAGAAAAAGTCACAGGGGGCCAGGTCTGGGGAATACGGTGGCTGAGGCATTATTGGAGTCTTGTTTTTGGCAAAAAATTCGCGCACAGGTAACGATGCATGAGCAGGAGCGTTATCATGGTGCAAAAGCCAATTTTTGTTCTTCCACAAATCCTGGCGTTTCTGGCGGATTGCGTCTCGCAAATTGCGCATTAGTTGAAGGTAATATTCCTTATTGACCGTTCTACCTTGCGGCAAGAACTCATCAATGTTTGCGTCTGTTGTTGACGTGGAACGCTTTTCGTCGCTCACATCTTCTCAGCCCTCTGAGAACATTTTGTACCACCGATAAACGTTGTTTTTGTTCAACATTTGGAATATGTCTGCGCACTCCAAGTTGTTTATTACACCAAATTTAATACAAATTCTTTGATCCACTTTTTGGAATCGAAATCGGAGACAAGCCAAAACACGTTCACGCACAATAGCTGTCAAAAATTGACTGAACATTCAAAATGGCCGATATCGTCAAAATTAGTAAGGGTCATGAGTACCAACATAACGCCACAAAAAGATCGAAAATCGAACATACGTAGCTCGCGAAAATTCTAAATTTGCGATACTTTTCTAACAAACCTCGTATCTGGTGCGTAATCAATGTAATGAGTATATTAATTTAAATTACAGACAAAATGGATCAATGGTGCAAATTCAACCACTTCAAGGCCACAATGAGGGAAGCACTTGAAAAGCTGAACGAGTTGGTTGACGAAAGTGATCCAGATGTCAACATCCCCAACATCGTCCACGCCTTCCAGACAGCAGAAAGGATCAGGAAAGATTATCCCAACGATGACTGGTTCCATCTCACTGGGCTCATCCACGATGCTGGAAAGGTAAGACGTTTGATAAAGATCTAGTTATTTATACAGGGTGTTTCAAATTCGACCATTACCGTTGGAGTCCCGGAGCTTGTAAGAGATACGAAGTCGCTTAAATCGGGGCACCTAGGAACTTCCATTTTTCTCGAATAACTATGAAGTAGGGTTGTCCAATAGGGACACAGATTTGACATAGACGCCATCTTTGTTTTGTGTCACCGACATGTCATTTTGTTAGTTGAATGTTTACCATTGATCGCTATGGAGTCGTATTCGATTGAAGACCGCATTAAAGTTATTCAAGAGCACTACAAAAATGGTGCAAAAATAAAAAACACGTTTCGCGCGCTTCGTGAACATTTCGGTCGCAACAACCGCCCAAACGAAACAACCATCGGTCGTCTGGTGCGTAAATTCGAGGCAACAGGTTCTGTGGCAAATCTGCCAGCCTCTGTCCGGCCAAGGAGCGTACGTACACCGGAAAATATTGCTGTTGTGAAGGAGAGACGATCCGAAACAATCAACAACGCGTCGATCCCAAGAATTGGGCATTTCGAGAACCAGTTTGCTCCGCATTCTCCACAAGGATTTGAATGTACACGCCTACAAGATCCAATTGACGCAAAAGCTGCGTCGGGCCGACCATTTTTCGTGCCGAACGTTCTCAGATTGGCTCCTTGAACACCGCCAAATTGATGCCAATTTTTGACTTTGAATGGGACGGTAAACAAGCAAAACTGCCGCATCTGGGTGAACGAAAATCCCCGTGAGTATCAAGAGCAGCCCATGCATCCTCAAAAAGTGACTGTGTGGTGTGCATTGTGGTCAAAAGGCATCATCGGAGCTTACTTTTTCGAAAATGCGGCCGGGGACACCGTTACCGTCACTTCTGAGCGATATCACGTGATGATAGAGGACTATTTTTTGCCGCAACTTGAAGGAATGGATATGGACAATGTTTATTTTAAACAAGACGGTGCAACATGCCACACAACCAACGTCAATATCCATCGATTGCAGTCCTTCTTCGGTGATCGCGTGATTTCGCGCAGAGGAAATGTGCCATGGCCACCAAGATCGTGCGATTTGACTCCCTTGGACTTCTTTTTATGGAGATATTTGAAAAGCAAAGTCTACATCAACAAACCAGCCACCCTCCAAGAACTCAAAAACAACATCATTGCCGAGATAAATGCCATAGAACCGACCATGTTGCAAAATGTCACTGAAAATTTCGACCATCGCGTGGACGTCTGTAAATCGAGTCGTGGTGAACATTTGAGCGATATTATTTTTCATACATAAATGGTATAAATGAACCTTCAAAATAAAGTACCCAACTTGATTTGATATCAATCTTTCTTGTTTTAATATGCGTTTACTTTCCTGCGTCCGTTTTGGAGTTAGAATTGAAAATACTGTTGATCTGCAAAATCCGATATATGACGTCTATAAGAAAAAGTAAATTTGATGATGGACTACAAGAGAAGAGACGTCATATTGGCATTCTAATTATGCCATCGTGTAGAGGAGAAAAAGTGGCAATCTCAACGTGCCATTTATTTTGAAATCCACTACAAATAAAATCAGGAAAAAATTAAAACTTTATTGGGAAAATTCGGTTCCGGAAGTACATTGAATTTTCTTATATCCATAATAAGGTAATATTTAGTTCAATCTTTCGGAAGAAAAAACCCATTCCCTCTAATTTTGACAAAATGAGCTTTGCGGCTTTTTCTGTGTCGCTGATGACACATCTATCATCAGAATTACTGTATTCCTAAAATGAAGAAACCAGTAGACTGAAGTTAGTACCAAAATTGGTAGGACTGTACTGGAACAGTGTTTTTCTTAAAAACCAAGTCTCACAAAAATAAATTTTTTTGGAATAGCAATACTGCGTTGAGGTTAGTCGGGCCCTGGTGATTTAAATGAACTAGTCAAGCTATTATTAAACATATTTTCATTTTTTTAGATTTTGGCGATGTACGATGAACCCCAATGGAGTGTGGTAGGAGATACTTTTGTCGTTGGCTGTGATTGGAGCAAAAACATCGTATACCGGGATGAATCTTTCAAAAACAACCCAGATGCCAACAACCCGAAATACAAGTAAGTATCATTAACACCATTTCTATGAAATTTCGGTATATGGCACTTTTGGTATTGAATAGATCGACATTTGAAGCAGTAACGAAAGCAGTATTGCTTGTACCCATGGATGTTTGTACAATTTTTGGGTATTACGATGCTTTGAGATGTTTAAGTGTGGCGGACTTCACCACACACCACCAATTGTGAAGCATTTCTTAGAGCAAGGATTTAAAATAAAAATTAATAAAATTGAAATTATAAAAATTACAGTAGCTAAAAAGATTATTGTTTTGATTATTTATACTAGAATCTCTAGATTTTTTTAATTGGAAGTTAAATGTAATAGATATACAGTGTGTTTCAGTTTATTGTTGCATAACTTTACGATTCGATATAACTTTTAAAATTAATGCATAAAGTCTATATAAACATGGGTCGAAAAATGCGTGGCTTCCGAAATACAGGGTGTTTAAATTTACTTTCTAAAATAGTTTTTTTTTAAATATTTCGAACAATATGTGATGTATAACAGTGAAAATTGGTATACGAGGGTTTTTGGTACGATAAAACGAACCATGGGCATAGTTTTACTGTAGCCGCTAGAGGGCGCTCTCTACTGTACCTGTAGTGTATTAAAATGACCGAACATTTTTTCTTAGTGCAATTTTTTGCTTTTTGAATAAAAAAACTGATTCTTCGCACTTTTCAACATAAAAAGCTCTCTTGTGAATTTTCGTTATAGGTAGCCGTTTTTGAGATATTTCGATTTTTAATGTTCGATGCATTTTTAATTATTTATGATAAAATAACGTTGAAAAGTCAGTATCTCGATAATTTTTAGAAGTAGGCTGTGCCTGCAAATATTTTTGAAATTGAAAGCAGAATAAGGTTAAACGTCAATTAGTTGACAGTTAGTTTTGTTGTCTGTTGAAACCTGAAACGTTTTTTTGCAATTGTGAATGAGCGAAATTTAGTTTCTTTTACCTGTTTTTCTTGTAAGTTTTATAAAAATGCCATTTTTAGTCTCCAATCAAGAGTTAGCGGATATTCATTTTGTGTATGGCTTTGTAAACGGAAACGTAGCAGAAGCAGCCAGAGAATACGCACGAAGATTTCCAAACATACGACATCCAACTCGCTCAGTATTTGTAAGAGTGCATCGCCAAATAATTGAAAATGGTTTTGGAAATCTCCAAAGGGATCAAAACATAAATGTTCGTCAGCGCAGATTTACCCGTATGATTCTGCGTGAGTTTGAAAGAGATCCGACCATAAGTGTTAGGAGAGTTTCTGGTGCCTTGGGAATTTCAGCAAGCCATGTTCACCGTGTTCTTAGAAATGACCATAGACGTCCTTACCATTTGCAACCTGTGCAAGGACTACAGCCAGGGGACGGAGAACGGAGAATCACATTTTTTCAGTGGATTCTTGATAGAACTGATAATAATAGGGAGTTTTTAAGTAACGTTTTATGGACCGATGAGTCATGCTTCACTAGACGTGGAGTGGTAAATTTTCATAATCAACATATTTGGTCGCATGAAAATCCGCATGCAGTTCGGGAAAGAAATTTTCAGCATGAATTTAGTGTGAACGTGTGGATTGGTATCTACCGTAATCGACTATTTGGACCCTACCTTTTGCCTGCAAGGTTAAATGCTGCGACCTTCTTGGAATTTCTAAAGGCTGAACATGCAAATATGTGGGATGATGTTATGTTAGATTTAAGAAGATTGTCCTGGTTCCAGCTTGATGGTTGTCCAGCTCATTATTCGAGAATAGTTAGAAACTGGCTGGACGAAAATTATCCAGAAAGATGGATCGGTCGCCTGGCCTCCACGATCCCCTGACCTAAATCCATTAGATTTCTTTGTGTGGGGATTTCTAAAAGAAAAAGTGTACTAGACTCCCGTAACCACATGAGATATGCTAATAGACAGAATCAGGAATGCATGTGATGAAATAAGGCCTTATTGGAATAATGCTATACCACGTTCGATCATTCGTAGATGTGTAGATGTGAATTGTGTATTGAACAATTGGGTTTACATTTCGAGCAACTACTTTAGATTTTGTATGTTTGTCCTGACTATCCAATAGCATTTTAGTTGTAAATAATTAATTTGATTTGTTAAAAATAATATTGGAAAATTAAACAAATTAATATTCTGTTTTTTTGTGTTTATTTGGAGTTATTAATTATTGCTGTGTTTAAAAACACAATCTAAACGATCATCTTAATTACTTGTAATGCCCAAATCGAAAATGTAAAAAAAATATTATTTTCCCATAAATAATTAAAAACGCATAGAACCGTAAAAATCGAAATATCTCAAAAACGTCTAACTATAACGAAAACTCACAGGAGAGCTTTTTTATGTTGAAAAGTGCGAGGAATCAGTTTTTTTATTCAAAAAGCAAAAAATTGTACTAAGAAAATTTTTTCGGTCATTTCAATACACTACAGGTACAGTAGAGAGCGCCCTGTAGCGGCTAAAGTAAAACTATGCCCATGGTTCGTTTTGTCGTACCAAAAAACCCTTTTATACCAATTTTTACTGTTATACATCAAATATTGTTCGAAATATTTAAAAAAAACTATTTTAGAAAGTAAATTTAAACACCCTGTATTTCGGAAGCCACGCATTTTTCGACCCATGTTTATATAGACTTTATGCATTAATTTTAAAAGTTCTATCGAATTTTAAAGTTATGCAACAATAAACTGAAACACCCTGTATAAATAATTACCTACCTCATCAGTAAATAGAAATACGTATGTAAAAATAATCAAACTTCGTTTGAAACGTGGTAATACTGATCATCAGCCTCAAAACTGTGCGATATTAAAAGATGAGATAATATGTCCAAATAACAGAATCAAATTTGAAGTACAATACAAATTTCTACATAAATCAGTCATCCTTCCATTATACCTGTAACATGGTCCAAATCTAATATGAAAAATAAAAAAATAAAGTTTCTTATGGTGACAGACAGCAATTACAGGCCAAAACATTCACTAACTACACTGCCACGCCAAATTAACTGGAAAAACAAATTTTTGTTCAACTTAAATTTTAAATATCTTTTTAACCTTTGCGTCAATTCCGTTAGTTTTGTCGTCAATTTGTAGGCAATTCCATTGCCATCATTATCGACTATCGGCCTTGCAAAAAATTTGAAGTATTTGTTGTTATATAGGGTGTAATTAGAAGGTGCATTTGCCCTAAATTTCTGAACACCCTGTGGAAACATTGGATTTCTGAATAACATGTCTTCGTATGAGAATTTTAACCCTCAACTTTTCTCAACAGTTCCTTTTTTGATTCATGTCAATATCTCAATTGTTGAAGAATATATGCTGTTTTGAAGAGAATCATGCGAATCATAGCCGTAAACAAGAACTGAGAACTAACATGCTTATTATTACTTGACCCATACGCTCTGTACAAGAAAGTTCCAACTTCGAGGACATCCTGTACAGGTGAATGGCTCCTAAGTAAACTACCGCAAAGGTGTGCCTCTGCTATTGTCAGACATTTCGGTCTCGTCGCGTTAGTGACACTTTGAGATTAATTATTCCTCCCACCCCGGCACCTCTTCTCAGTCTGAGACGAGACAAAGTTCATCCCATTAGCGAGAAAAGAAAGTTGTGTGACGGATTCGCGCGATGCACGCAGCGTTGCCTCGCTAAGGCTAGGCGCACACCACAGGTGATAAACTTAGTGGCATTTGTGTGTTATCCACCGTACAAACGACAGAGAACACCCGAGCAGTAGGCGGATTTTACCACTTTTTAAGAAAGGAGACAAGAGAGATTGTATTGATTACAGAAGAATAACACTGACCGAAAGATCTTATTTTCCCGTATTTCCCAAACAATAAAGGTTTACTTGCCAGAAGTCTCTAAAGGTAATAGTTTTCGAGATATTTGTTTTTAAAGGTTCCAATGCATTATTTGTACCATGCTGATAAAACATTTTTATCACATACGAGGGTGGTCCCAGAAGTACCCCTCCCAACTAAGAAAACACAAAATTTTTGTAAAAAAATGTTTTTATTTTTCAACATAATCTCCTTTGAGCTCTATACACTTTTCCCAGCGATGTTCAATAAGTTCGATACCCTTGTTATAATAAGAACTGTCTTGCTCCTCAAAATAGCCGTTAACTGCCGACAGCACTTCTTCATCGTTGGAAAATCTGCCAAGTTTGAAAACAGAAAATAATCCGAGGGGGATAAATCTGGTGAATTGGATGCATGAGGTAGCAATTCAAACTTTAATTCGTTAATTATGACCATTGCAATAACGGATTTGTGAGCTGGTGCATTGTCTTGATGAAACAACACTTTCTTCTTAACCAAATGCGCCCGTTTTTGCTTGATTTCATCGCTGAAACGTTGCATTAAGTTCGCATAATACTCGCCGTTGATAGTTTTACCTTTTTCAAGATAGTCAATGAAAATTATCCCACGAGCATCCCAAAAAACCGACGCCATAACCTTGCCTGCAGAGGAAACGGTCTTCGCCTTCTTTGGAGCCGGTTGTCCCTTTTGAGTCCATTGTTTTGATTGTTCTTTTGTCTCAGGTGTGAAGTGCTGGACCCATGTTTCATCCATGGTTATGAAACGACGCAAAAATTCTGCTTTGTTGCTGTGAAACTTCGTTAAACACAATTGAAACATCTTCACGACACTGTTTTTGCTCGATTGTGAGCAATCGCGGCATCCATCTTGCACACAGCTTTCTCATGTCCAAATTCTCAGATAATATGCGATGAACCGCACTTTTTGAAATGCCTACTATGTCTGCTAGCTCGCGTACTTTCAGTCGACGATCATTCAGTACCACTTTGAGAATTTTCTTCACCATTTCTATAGTCGTCACCTCATTTGATCGACCACGGCGATGCTCGTCTTGGCAGCTCATACGACCTCGTTTAAACTCTGCTACCCAATATTTTACTGTTGTAAACGAAGCAGCAGACTCACCCAGAGTAGAATCCAGTTCAGCT